CAATGACCACAACCCTTGGTTTAAGTGGATATCACGTCTTGTCAGCACGTATTTAAATTCATTGATTTCATTTTCTATTCCCAAAACTATCTTTTCAAAAAAAAAAAAAAAAAGTAGTATTATTACCCTTTGTATGGTTAAAACTAACATTAGTTTTTTACTTTATAAAATTGATAAGTTTTAATCTTTAATCTTATAATATAACACTGTAATTTTTTACTTTACAAAGTTAGTAGATTTTAACCCTTCACCTTACAAAGTTGGTAGGTTTTAGCCTCTCATCTTATATTATGACACTTTTAACCCCTTATCTGTATGAATTGAAAAAAATAACTCTTATTTAACACCAAGTTTTAATATTTTATTAGTTTTGTTAGTTGATTGTCAGTTCTATTAACTGATTGTCAGTTTTATTAACTGACTGTTAGTTCTGTTAGTTGACTGTTAGCATCCGTTAATATTCCGTTAATGAAACTAACAAATAAAATTGAATTTAAATTTCATATTTTTTATAATGGAATGATAACATATGTTAATAGTCAACTAATAAAACGTTATAATCTGATATTAGGTGAGGGTTATTTTCTTTAATTCGTATCGGTGATGGACTAAAAATATCATAATATAAAGTAAAAGGTTAAAACCTACCAACTTTATAAGGTAAGAGGTTAAAACTTACCAACTTTATAAGATAAAGGCCTAAAACTGTAATATTATAAGATGATGGGCTAAAACCTACCAATTTTGTAAAATGAGAGGCTAAATGTTGATTTTTACCCCTTTGTATTGTATAACTAGAACTTAAAGTGCATTTTGCACATTTCCTCTTGATTGGATTTGATTAATTAAGTATTTATTACTTATAAATTTTCTATTAATAATTAACTAAAAATATATATTAAATTAGATCTCAAGATTCACTTTGCACATTTCATCTGTACTGGATTTGGTTATGTTTTAATTAATTATAAACTTTTGTATTAAAAGTAACTAAAAAATACATTAAATTAACTTTTTCCATTATCACACAAAAAAGTTTAAATGATAGATATAAAAGAAGATATAAATATACAAATTTAATAATTTTAAACCTCAAAAATAATGACAAGTTTTCATTTAAAAAAAATCTAAGAATTTAGATATTGAGTATATATTTTTGATAATTAATATTGTAGTACAAATCAAGTACCACTTAATATTTAGAGTGTTAATAAGGATATTGTCATAGTATCTTATCGTGTTTTAGTACTTTATTTTAATTTCTTTTTATGTTTAGTACATTATGGTTATTTCTTTCACATATCTCTTTATTAAATATTTCTCATTATTTAGTTATTTATTAAAATATTAAACTTATGAAAAAGGCATAAGTAGACTCACATTTGTTGGCTTAATGCACTCCAAAAG